GGGGATTACAACTGAGATGGAAAAATGCACAAAATGATGTAAAACTAAACTATTATATTATTTAACAACAACAACAACAACAACAAAAAAGCCCTTCTATGCTTGGTGATATACTTTCTTATAAGTATACTTACACACACTTTTTCAGTATAACCCCTAGTGAAAGACAGTATGGAGCTTCCTCAAAAATTAAAATGAAATTGCCATCTGATCCAGCAGTCCCACTTCTGGGTATATAATTGTACTCTTATGTTCATTGCAGCACTATTTAAAAGTCACAACTGGCCACACAGTGTACACTTAATGAAAATATGACATAGATATGTAGGACTGTTATTCAGCTTTGTAAAAGGGAATCCCGACATTTGTGAAAATATGGTAGATTGACAAGATATTATGCTAAGTAAAATAATTCAGATGCAGAAAAAAATAGAGAATGATATCACTTATGTGTGGAATCTAAAATAGCCAAAATCATAAAGAATGGTGGCCACTTACCAGGAAGTTAGGGAGGACAGAATGGCAGTAGTGGTAAAATGGTACAGAATTTGAATTGCCCACTATGGGTAAGTACTATGGGTAAGTATGAGATCTACTAGAGAGAGCAGTGTTGTAGCTAATACTACTAGTAATACTGTACCATAGACTAAAGGTTTTTTTTTTTTGTGGCTAGATAAGGTTTTTTTTTAGTTCTTGAGCTGATTTTTTAATTACATTTTCTTAGTTTTATAATATAATAGTTTATTTTTACATCATTTTGTGAATTTTTCCATCTCTGTAATTGTAATCCCTGTGGGCTTCCCATCACCAAATCACCCACGTGCCATCACCATAGTCCTGAGCACTCCCCCCCCCCCTTATTTTTGATCCCATTCCCCACTCCACCCCTATAAAATGTCTCTGGTATACAGTTATTCATTACTATTATGTTCTCCCCTGGTTCTTTATCCTTCTGCTATGAGTGAAACCATCCAGTATTTTTCTTTTTCTTTCTGGCTTATTTCACTAAGCATGATCCCTCCCAGCTCCATCCGTGTTGCTGCAAAAGGCATGTGTTTATCTATTTGATTGCTGAGTAATATTCCATTGTGTACATGTACACATCTTTTTAATCCAGTCATGCACTTTTGGGCATTTGGGTTGTTTCCATGTCTTTCCAATTGTAAATAAAGCAGCAATAAATGTAGGGGTGCAGGTGTCTTTTTGAATCAGTGTTTTTGTGTCTTTTGGGTAGATACCTAGGAATGGGATTGCTGGGTCATATGGAAGCTCCATGTTTAGCAGTTTGAGAAACCTCCAAACAATTTTCCATAGTGGTTGTACTAGTTTGCATTCCCACCAGCAGTGCAGGAGAGTTCCTTTTTCTCCACATCCTCACCAACATTTGTTGTTGCCATTCTAACTGGGGTGAGGTATTTCTCATTGTGGTTTTAAGTTGCATCTCCTTTATTACAAGTGATGTTGAACATTTTTTCATATGCTTGTTGGACATCTACATTTCTTTTCTGGAAAAGTCTTTTTAGCTTGTCTGGCCACTTTTTGATGGGGTTGTTTATTTTTGTTGAGTTTCATCAGTTCTTCGTATATCTTTGTGATCAATCCTATCGCTAGTATTGTATGAGAAAAATTCTTCCCAGTGGGATATTTGTTTTTTGTAATGTCTCTTTTCCTGTACAGAAGCTCTTTAAATTGATGTAGTCCCATCTGTTTATACTTTCCTTCGCTGTTGTTGTGTCAGGTACTGTATCTTTAAAGATGTTACTGAGGTGTATGTCATGTTGTGTTTTGCCCATCTTTGCTTCCAGATATTTTATGGTTTCTGTTCATATGTCTAGGTGTTTAATCTACTTCGATTTGGTTTTGTGCATGCTGCAAGGTAGTGATCTAGTTTGTTTTTGTTTTTGTTTTGTTTTGTTTTGTTTTTTTGCATGTAGTTTACCAGCTTTCCCAACACCATTTGTTGAAAAACTTTCTTTGTTCCATTGTATCTTCTTTGTTCCTTTGTCAAAGATTAGCTGTCCATAAACCTGTGGGTTTATATTTAGGTTTTCTATTTGAATCCACTCATCTGTGTGCATAGACTTCAGGTTTTTAAGAAGGCATATCTGTGTTGTGTTTTGAACATACATATAGTAATACTAGTAATAATAATGAAGGGGGCTGTGGAAGGAAATCCGTGCCTGGCCTTGACGGTAGTGCTGAGTTCATTGGTATATACTTTCTTTGGCTCTTGTCTCCTGAATTACTGAGTCCCCTTTGTCTCCAAAAGATTGAAGTCACTAAAACTTCCAAATAATTGTGACTAAAATGTATAAACAATTGGGGTGAGATGACAAGTCTCGTGACAGTGAGTCCTTGGAGTGGTTTCCAGAATTTCCATTCAGGAAGGGTAGGGAGGGATAATGGACATGCCCAACAGGAAATACTGAAAAGTTATTGAAAAGAGGCCTCCTCTGCTCAAAACTTTATGAATAAAGGCTGAAGCCTGGGGGGTGGGGTGGGGGGGGGATGCCCAGGGTCATTGAGTGTGGAGTAAAGGGACCCAGCTGGAAATACCATGTCAGAACAAAGGAATTTACTATTACAAGACATGCTCTGTTCACATTATCTCTTTCCTAAGATATTTTACAGCTTCAAGAAAACCTTAGATGAAGACATGCTACAGAGCTCAACCCTAACTGGTCGCAGCTGGTTAGCTACGCATACTCAGATGAGCAAAACTTGAGCCAAATCACCTGAGATCTTCATGAGTGCCTAACAGACACACCACTGGGAGGAGTCAGAATGCTAAGGGCACGTGCTCCTCTGAGAAAGATGTCCTGCACCTGCACCCTGCAAGACCTCCCACAGCAACTGCGTACCCCCCTGCAAAACAACTTCTTCTGGGGGAAGCACTCCCTTAAGGAGGTCTCCCTGGAGCCTGCCGCTCTTGCCTCAATGAAACTCTTACTTTCTTCTTTACTTTATCTTGCCAGTATGATGAATCCTCATGTCATTCTTGACTGCAGTTCTCAAAAACCCTCTGACAGGGCTGAGCCAGTGACAGAGCCCCAGACAGCTGCTAGAATTATAAATGCATTGCAGTGCTAAGGGAACTTCAGGAAGGAGAGGCCCACAGGAGAGACCTCACCTGCACCTCATGGGAGAGAGTGACCACTTACGCACCTGCCACCCCAAGGGACTGAAGCTAGCTTTAAAGTACCAGCTGAGGGTAGTCTTTTGCCCATCATCCTCAAGACCTCCAGGCAGGTCAAACAAAGGAGCAGAGAAGATGCTGCAGGATCAGCCTACAAGATGTCCCAGGCAGGCTTTTCCCGACATATGTCATCTGGGCAAATGGAGTGAAGGCCCGGTCAAGCTATTGGCCATGGGAGAAATGGTTATCATTGGCTCAAAGGCTGAAGAATGCCAGATTTAGGGTCATCTCCACAATGTGAGTTTTTATTAGAGAAACCCATCCACGGCTGGGCAAACATCTGGATAGGAAATCATCCTTTCTCTTCCCCTTTCTCTTTGACTCCCAGACCCTGTCTCATTTCTTAGCTCACATAGCCAGACACAAAGGGTTACATGCTAATGATTTGATGTATATGAAATGTCTATAATAGGCTAATCCATAGACAATACAACAGATTAGCGCATTCATTCCAGAAACAGGAGGGAGAAAACAATGATTGCTTAATGGGCACAAGCTGTCCATGTTGTGCCTGAAAAATTTGTGGAAGGAGATTAGTGGTGATGTTTGAATAAAATTGTGGCATTGAGTTGTACATTTAAGATGTGAGAATGGTTAATTGTATATTTTGGCATAATAAAAATAATCAGCCATTGACAACTCTCAAAAAAACTTATAGTCATGCAAATTTTCCATATGTATATCATTACATTTGTTCTTTTTCTCCTACTACTCTGTCTGATGTTAGTTTGTTTGCTTGTCTAGAACCAAAAGAAACCAGGGGCTGGAGGAGTGTTCCCTTGTACCTTGACAATGCCAACTCTTCCCTCTCTGCCCTCACATCCTCACAACTTCCAGCTACCAGTCTAAAATTTGCCTGAAGTAAGGGGAGAGATGGAGGGAGTTCATCATCCTGACCATGATGCTCTAGGTTATGAACTGAAACCATGAGATGAAGTGTCTGCCTACTGCCTGTTACCTAAGGGCATGAGTGATGTGCCAAAAAATGTCTTGTAAATTTTCACCTTGAATGCCTGAGAAGACCTCCCACAGAATAGATTTTAAAGAGACCATAGGAACATTAATAGATTTTCTCACCACAAAATGTGTTTTATATTCATCATTACTTAAGGACAATTTTCACATACACACCTATATGACCAAACTATAAGAAGGGTGTTTAATTTTCTTTCTGATCATCAGCAAGGAATGAATAGTATGCATTTCCGTGCCTATCTTGTCTCTTTAGAATCCAATCAACACACTAGGAATTTTTATCTGCCTTGTCCACTGATCGACTCTCTGTGCTTAGCACATAGGAGTTACTCAATAAATGTGTTGAATGATGAATACAGTTTGTAACCAAAATCTATTCCCAGTGACTTACCTTCCTCTTCTTTTCCCAGCTTAATAATCTGAATCTCAGAATAGGTTATCTCTTCCTGTTGCGAGTGCACTGGAAAGAAAATACAACATTTCCTAGGCTGTCCCAGTCAGTGGCATGTGCCACAGATTCTTCTTCCTAAGCCCTTTCTACTCTTCTTGGACATAAGATGAAGCAACTAGGTACTGAGAATGTCTGGGCCTATAGTACCTTATGGAGACCAGCAGTCTCTGACAGGCCTCAAAGCATATTCTGTTTTCCTAGCTGAGGCTGGGAGTATCTTCCTACTGGGGATCCTCACCATCCAGCAGCCGCATTTCCATCGGGGCAGGACACTTGGGATAAGGAAGATCTTCTGCTCCTGGAGTGGGAGGGGTCCTGTGAAACAGAAACACATGTGCATCACTGAAACGTCACAATAGGCACCAGCGTGGGGTGACCAGAGAGAATGGAGGGAGGGGGTTATGGTCCAGCAACAGAGATCTGGGAAGCCTGAATGGTTAACTGGACATTCAGTAATCTATATAGAGTATGACTGTTTTGAGAAAAAGTCTGGGTCTGTGGTTTGAGCAGTCATCATAGGGACAGATATCTCTGCATGGAATTGTCACTCTCAATATGTTAAAAACCTGGCCTCATCATTAAAAGGAAGTGACTACATGTTTTCATGTCATCCTGTCTGGACAAGTCAAGAAAAAATTAAGCTGAATTCTCTCTCCAAGCCTATAGCTATAACCTATCATGAGACACTGCCATAGAAGACCATATTTTCCATACCAACATTAAAGGCACAAAGTCTGGTAAGTATATATATGTGTGTGACTCAGCCATTTGCACACAGTCAGAGCGACACGGTGTCAAAAAGGAAGACTATGTGCACCAGAGATATTTCATTCCAACCTAGAAAATCTATAACCTCTGGTATCATCCATTGATGTAAACGGCTATATCGCAAAGAAAAACTGACCTCAATACATGAAATACATATAATATAAACTGTTAGGTGGGTTGTAGGGAGTTCTGGTTTTGACCATTTTAAGGAATGTCAAAATATTTAGCCACAGGAAAAATTTAGCCACAGAGATAGAGAGAAACCACTTGACCCAGTTTTGTGGTCCCACAGTTATACATATTTTATTCTTGGGAACCAGAATCCTGAGGCTTACCTTGCTGTGTCTTCCAGAAAGCCATCTCCTGCAAATGAAGCAGATGTATCATTATGTCAGCAGAGGGAGCTCTTTATCAAAATTTACAAAAGAGCTGTACTAGAGGTCATGGGAAAGTCACTTTGCAAGCATCCAGTACTACACACTCCTGTGAATAATGTGAAATAGGCTTGAACCAAGCATATAACTTGCTGGGGACAATGCTACACAATCCAAGCTGAACATGCAATTATTGAGGTGTCATTAAACCTCAAGATTGTGTTAGGAGCCATAGGAGATACTAAATATAACCAAGTTGCCTCTATGGAGTAGTGAGGAGCATCTTGCCCAAAGACTTCTCAGGCTCCAGTTCAGGGATGCTCAGGACCCTTATGGTCAGAGGCCCAAAGGTCCACATATCCTGTCCACGGCACACAGAAGGTACTCAGGGGGAATCCGGTACATTTGATGGAATTAAGATAAATAAAGAGATAGTGTTGTATACAAGATGTCCTGGCATCTGAAACTAGCCTGACCTGACCTAAGGCAAAATGCCTTTGGAAGCATAGGAAGGATGATACTGGAGAGAGAGCCTCTCCTTAGCTGTGGGAAGAGCTGCGGGCTGTCTGCAGAGAATAGGCTAATGGGGCACTGGGTGGCAGCTTCAGGCTCTAACTCAGGGAATTCTTGGGGGAGGAATTGGGATAGACAACACTTGACAGTTCCAACTCTTATTCATTTATCTCAAAGCCCTCGATATTGTTCATTGGATTGAAGACAGAATGAAGAATTCATTAGCCAATGTACAGGAACCAAAGAAACTGTTTAGTTTTTGAACTTTTGTATTTAAAAAAAATCTTATCTTTCACATTGGGCCTAGTAAATCAGACTAGATATAAACAGCCTTACCCATAGCATCTGTTGAAATTATCCCTTACGAACTCTGAATGTTGGAGTGGCTTGGTGAGGATGCAATAAGTTGTGTTGTCCCAGACAGCAAAGGGTATCCAGCAAAGAAAAAAGAGAACACAAACCTGATTTCCTGTGGGACCAGCAGTAAAACAGCAAGACTGTGGCCAGGAAAACACTCAATATGCCCCCAATGGCTCCAACAGCTATCATGCCACATCTATACCAAGGAGTTCCTGAGGGGAAGAAAGAGTCTGCATGAGCCTCAGGGCTTGAACTGCAGAAGTTCATGGTGGCCTGGAACTGTGCTTGGATTGGCTTTGGGACTGACTACTGGAAAGTGAGGAATCTAAGGAGCCAGAACTCATGAGGATCCCTGACCAGATGAGCCTGAGCTGGGAAAGCACAGGGGGCAGTCGCCTTTATGTGACTAGCTCAGCCCTAAGCCTACCTATGACAGGACATGGTATGAGGCTGTATTGAAGAGTCTGGGTACAATGTGGCAAAATAGAGGAAAGCTAGTCAGCTCCCTCCACCAACCCACTCATATCATCCCAGAAGTTAGCATTTTGGGGTGAAACTTCAGATATAATATCTAGCTATAATATGATATCTAATATACAAGTAATATATATTGTATATATGTAATATATATTGCATATAACTAATATATACAGGAATTTACCCCAACTTGATAAAATATTATGTGATGTGGTCTGGTAGCAGGGACAATGCTTGAAAATTAAGGTAAATATCATTACCAGTTAGGGCACTACTTAAACCAGGAATAACTAAGATAGCTCTCTAGTAAAAAAAATATATTGAGAGTGGGTCCCAGGAAAGCACAGGATTGCATGAAAAGCTGTTGGAGGTAAGAGATCCCACACCCCTCTTCTGGAACTGAGTGAAGGCAGAGGGAGGGCTCCAAAACAAAGATTAAGATGCATATGTAGGGGAAGAGAACAGTAGCATACAGAGACTTGGTGATCTTCAGGAATAGCATCCATTAATTCACCCACAGCATCACTTTCCTTGTGAAGTCTGGTGTAACAGTTCTGGACTCAGTCTGGCCACCAGTCACACATGTCCTAATGGCAGCACCCTGTAGAGATGCCTACCAGTACCAGTGGCACAGTGGTCCAGTGATTCAGTGCATAGAACAAATTAAAAAATATATAAACATGAAGAAGGAAAAATACAAATAGTCAAGCAAGGACACACCACAAAAAGAAAATCAGCCCCCAGAACTCAACAACAATGACATGAAAGAAGTTTTCTGCTTGACAGAGAGCTTAAAATTGCCATGGTAAAAAAAAAAGAAAAAAGAAAATGAAAAAATGATATGAGAAATGTAATTAATGAGTTGAAAAATGAAATTGTGTTTATTTTTTATTTATTTTATTTATTATTATGTATGTATTTTTTATATCATTCTTCATTTTGTGCATTTTTCCATCACAGTTGTAAATCCCATAGGCCTTCCATCACCAATTCACCCATGTGTTTAAAGGAGGAACTGCAGGATATTAAGAGAACTTCCCAAGCATGAAGAAGGAGATGAAAATAGATATACAATAAGCAAGAAGAACACCAAATTTCTACAATGAAAGGAAAACTACAGAAAGACATATAACAGTAAAGCTCCCAAGAATCCAAGACAAGGTAAAAATAATGAAGCTGATGAGGGGTAAGAAACAGATAACATATAAAAGAAAACCAATCAGGCTGACATCAGACTTCTCTGAAGAAACACTACAAGCAAGAAGAGAATGTAGTGACATATACAACAAATTAAAAGACAACAAATGCCAACCAAGAATACTTTACCTTGCAAAGCTCTCCTTCCTCTATGAAGGAAAAATAAGACCTTCTAAAACAAACAGGATCTCCAAAAATTCATTACAGTTAAAAACTCCACTCCAAAAAATATTATAAGAAGCCGTAAAGTGAAAGCCAACAGAGGAAGGAATAGGAATAAAAGAATAAGGCAAGGAACAGAATCACAAAAAGACAAACAAAATGGCAAATACAAATGCCAGCATATCAACATTAACCTTAAATCTAAACAGACTAAATTCATTGATAAAAAGGCACAGAGATGCAGTATAAACAAAATTTAACCTTCACCAGGAAACATATTTAAACTACAAAAAGAAAAACATGAACCGAAAGTAGAAAGTTAGAAAACAATCCTACAAGCAAATGGATCACAAAAGAAGGGAGGTACAGTTATACTTACACCTGATAAAATAGACTTTAAACTAAAAAATGTAGAAAAGATGATCATTATATTATAATTAAGGGAAGAATACATCAGGAAGTTATAACACTCATTGATATATACAAATGAAGAAGCATCAAAATATATCAGACAATGATTATCATCTCTCAAAATATACATTAGAGAAAATACATAGAAAGTAGAGGACTTCAATATCTACTCTTACCAATGGACAGACCAAGGAGAAATAAAATAAACAAGGACCTGAGAGCCCTAAATAAAGGGCTTAATAGACATCAATAAGACACTACACAAAAAAAACTCTGAGTTTACATTTTTCTCAACTGAGCACAGATTTCTCCAGAATTTATCACATATTGAGCCACAAGCCAAACACTGACAGATATATTAAGATCAAAGTCAAACTTATTATCTCCTTTCATCATAGAGGTACCAAACTAGAAATAAACCATGGAAAGAAAGGAAGAATCCTCCCACTTTATGGAGATTGAAATCCACACTACTAGAAAACCATTGGATTGATGAGTAGATCAAAGAAGAAATTAAAAATTACTTTGAGATGAATGACAATGAGGATACAACTTTTGAGAATGTATGGGACACAGCGAAAGCATATATAAGAGGAAAGTATATAGCAATACAGCCTCATACCAAGAAACAAGAAAGGGCCCTTCCTGATGACACAGCTGGTTAAAATACAGCACTGCAAAGCTGGCCCCTGCCACTTCTGTGTGAGTGCGATCCCGCATCCCAGAGGTGATTCACATGGTGCAGCAGAACTCTCCTGTCTCACCAGCTGCTCCCCTCAGCAGTATACTTCTGTTGATCTGCCTGTTCTGCTCCCCACTCTGTCCCTGGTGAGTCCTCTCACCACACCTGCACCTCTGCCCTGTACCCCAGTTCCGAATACATAAATAAATAAATCTTTAAAAAAAACTTAAAAAAAAAGAGACAAGAAAGAAATAACCTAGTCTCTCATTTCAGGGAAATAGAAAAACAACAACAGCAAAACCCCAGAAGCCACTAGAAGAAAGGAAATAATAAAAATCAAAACAGAAATAAATGAAATTTAAAAAACAACCCAAAAGATCAAGAAAATCAGAAGTTGGTTCCTTGAAAAAAATGTAAAACCCCAGTTCACGAACAAAAAAACAGGGAAAATACAAATAAGTAGGATGATAAACAAAGGAGAAGAAATTATAACAGCACAGTAGAAATCAAAAGAATAATTAGATTACTATCAGCATTTTTATGAACAAGTTGAACAATCTAGAAGAGATGGACAAATTCCTAGAGCTATGTAGTCATCCAAACTAGACAAATAAGAAATAGAAGACCTAAGTAGACAAATTACAAGCACTGGAATTGCAATGATAATCAAAACCCTCTCCATAAACAAGCTCAGGACCAGACAGTTTTATAAGTGAATTCTCCCTAACATTCAGAAATTAAGTAGTGCCTATCCTACACAAACTTTTTCAAAAAATTTAGAAAGAAGTACTACCAAATATGAACCAAAAAACTACAGGCCAATCTCCCAAATGGACACAGATGCAAAAATCCTCAATAAAATCCTAGCCAAAAGAATTCAACATTGCATCAAAAGGATAATAAACCACAACAAAGTGAGATTAATTACATGGTCACAAAGATGATTCAGCATCCAAAAATCAATTAATATAATACAACACATCAACAAAAAGAAAAATAAAAACCACATGATCATATCAATTGATGCCGAGAAAGCATTCAACAAAATTCAACATTTATTTAAGATGAAGGCCCTCAAAATTTCAGAGAAGGAACAAACATTGACATAATAAAAGCCATATACATGACAAACTCAAAGCCAAAATTATTCTTAAAGGTGAAAAGTTCAAAGACTTTCCTTTAAGATCAGAAACAAGACAAGGATGTCTGCTCTCACCACTGCTTTACAATATAATGCTGAAAGTCCTAGAAAGAGCAATAAGACAAGAGAGAGCCATATAAGAAATTCAAATAGGAAATGAAAAGTTAAGCTATCACTATTTGAAGATGATATGATAATATACATAGAAAACCAAAAAAAAAAATCCACAGAAAAACTAATCAAAAAATCAATTGAGTAAAATAAGAGGATACAAAATCAACATTCAAAAATCAGTAGCCTTCGTATATGCAAACAATCAATCTGGAGAAGAAATCAAGAAATCCATCCGTTTTATAATTGAAACAAACAAACAAAACAAATCAGATGCTGGGGAATAAACCTAACAAAAGTGGTAAAGGACTTATCCAAAGGAAATTATAAAACATTGCTAAAAGAAATAGAAGAAGACACAAAAATGGAAAGACATCTCCCACTCATGGATTGGAAGAACTAGCATTATCAAAATTACCATCCTACCAAAAACAATTTATATATTCAATGCTATTCCAACAATGAGATTCTTCAAAGAAATAGAACAAATATTGATAAAATTCATATGTAGCCATAAGAAACCTCAAATATCCAAAGCTCTCCTACCTAAAAAGAAGGTGAATAGAGATATCACATTCCCAGATTTCAAACTATACTCCAAAGCCATAATAATCAAAACTACATGGTATTGAAACAAGAACAGATATATAGACCAATGGATTTGAATAGAAAACCCAAATGTAATCCCACAGTTTTATGGACAGCTAATTTTTGAAAAGAAGTAAAGAATATGCAATGGAACAAAGAAAGTTTGTTTAACAAATGGTCCTGGGAAAACTGGGCTCCTACATGCAAAAAAAAAAAAAAAAAAAGCTATATTACTACTTCACAGCATACACAAAAACCAACTCAAAATGGATTAAAGAACTAGACATAAAACCCGAAACCATAAACTGTATAGAAGAAAATGTTGGCAAAACACTACACAACTTACACCTCAGTAACATCTTTAAAGGTACTTCACCCAAAGCAAGGACAGTGAAGGAAAGAATAAACAGCTGGACTACATCAAATTAAAGAGCTTCTATACAGCAAAAGAGACATTACACAAAACAAAAAGACACCCCACTTATTGGGAGAAAATTTTTGCACACAGTACTAATGATAAAGGACTGATCACAAAGATACACAAAGAGCTGACAAAATTCAACAAAAATAAAGTGAATAACCCCATCAAAAAATGGGCAGAAAGGCTAAGACACTTCTCCAAAGAGGAAATGCAAAGAGCCAACCAACAGGCATATGAAAAAATGTTCAACATCACTTATTATTAGGGAAATGCAAATCAAAACCACAATGAGATACCATCTCACATCAATGAGAATGGCATATATTAAAAAAACTAGCAACAATAAATATTGACAAAGACATGGAGAAAAAGCAATTCAAACTGGTTCAACCACTATGGAAAATTGTTTGGAGTTTTCTCGAAATGCTAAAAATGGAGTTTCCATATGATCCAGAAACCCCATCTAACCAAAGAACACAAAAACATTAATTCAAAAGGACACCTGATCTCAATGTTTATTACGGCACAATTTACAATAAGTAAGTTAAGGAAGCAGCCCAGATGCCCAAAAATAGATGACTGGAACAAGAAAATGTGGTATATTTACACAATGAAATATTATTCAGCAATAAAAAAGAATAAACTCATGCCCTTCACAGAAACATGGATTGAGCTGGAAGAGATTGTGCCCAGCAAAATAAACCAGAAAGAAGAAGAAAAGTTATCGACTGGTCTCACTTATAGGAGATAACAAAAAAGGAATCGGGGGGGAAAAGGTAACTATAATAAAGTAAAAAGCAGTATTAGCAGACAACTATAAATCAGAGACATTCTGTAGAGGAGAAGGAGGGAGAAGGACCAGAACAGAAGTGGGAAAAACACAAGGGTCTATGGTGATGGTACATGGGTGAATTGATGGTGCGAATTTCATGGGGAAATCATACATTGTACAAAAATGAAGGATGATGTAATGAATATATTAAATAAAATAAAGTATAAAATTAGGGAAAATAGGTTAATTCATAATGAGTAGAAAATCTGATGGACCAATAATGAGTATTCAATCAGTAATCAAAAGCATCCTAAAAAAAGAAAATCTCAAGAATTCACTGTGAATTCTAAAAAGCAGTTAAAAATAAGTTAATGCTGGTCCTTCTTAAACTCTTCCCAAAAATTGAAGAGGAGGAAATACTCCCCAACTGGCTTGATAAGACTGGTACTACCCTGGCACCAAAGCCATTCAATGATACTGTAAGAAAAGGAAGTCACAGGACAATATTATTGATGAAGATAGTTGCAAAATTCTCAACAAAAAGCCCATTAAGGATCCAACACCTTCATCAAGTGGGATTAAACCATGGGATGCACAGGACAGGGAAATAAATAAGTGTGAAATATGTTAATAGAATAAAAGGTAACAATCATGTGATTATCACAATAGATGTAGAAAAATCATTTGACAAAATCCAACATCCATTCAGGATAAAAGCTTAACAAATTAGGTGTAGAAGCAACACACTATCACAGAGTGAAGGTCAAATATGATAAATATGACAGGTTACATACGCAATGTTAAAAAGCTGAAAGCTTTTCCTTTAATATTCAGAACAAAACCAGGTCACCTACTTTCACTCTGATTCCTCAAAATACTATAAATTCAAATAAGAACTAGCAGACAAGAAAATTAAGTTATTCAAGTTGGAAAGATGGAAACAAATTTATCTGTTTACAGAAAACTAAAATGCTTTTGCATAACAAAAAATTTAACAAAAAGTCAATTTTTGGAATCAGAGAAGATAGTCACAAAGCACATACCTGATACAGAACTCACAACTCAATACAAAATCTAGTAAGAATTTAAATGCTTCAGGAACTGCCGCACCAGGTGGGAATGCTCCTACATGGCATCACCTATGGAGTCACCTCAGCCAACTTCCATCCATTCTGTTGACTACACCTTGCCTCTTCCCCTCCATTTTCATGCAGCCCTGCCCCGCATCGTGATGATTTTGGAGATGGGGCCTCTGACAGGTAAGCAGGTTAGGGCAGTCACAACAATGGCCCCTACAGGACTGATGCTTTCACAGGAGGAGACACCAGGGGTCTCCCCTGCCCCCCACAAGACCTCACCCAGTTGGCACCCTGTTCTCACACTTCTCACCTCCAGAGCTAAATTTCTATTGTTAAACCACCCCATCTGGTTCTTTGAGTGTGGCACACCTAAGACACCTGAGATAGCTGGTGTTCCAGAGTACTTCAGAATTTCTCTCTTGCTAAAAATTCTTCCATTTTTAACAACACAGTTTTGCATGTGGTCAACAAAAAAAGATCAAAGAAGTTCCTACCAGTCAAATGTCAACTGAATGACATCTGCCTAATCGCTGGGGTCCCTGTTTCCTTAACAGATGATGACACCTGCCTGGCAGTGGCGGTGAGTGAAATGATATTGTGTGTACATAAAAGTTCGCTGCCAGCCCAGCCATTTGGCCACCCTCACTACCAAAGGGATATGGGCGATTTCGCACTTAGAGGTAAAGCACCAATAGATTCACTATTATCCTGTTAGAGCACTATGGCCTCTGGGGGTGTCCCCAAGGTGAGCTTTTCATTTGAAGAGACTTCTTGGAGAAGTATCACTCTTCGGTGTCGCTCTGAATTTTATCTTACTTTTTCTGAAGCAAATTGCTTTATATTATGATGGAGGTTTCAGGTGTGCAGACTTATCGCCAGCTGCAGATTAGTACCTGCACCAGGCTCATGATTGAAAGCCCTGTTTCCTTCCATCACCCACCATCTCACCGCCGTTGCCTATTACCCCCTGGGCTTCCCTTTCCCTGCTGGTAACCGCTGTGTTGTTCTCATAGACCAAGAGTGTCTTTTTATTTTGTTTTGTCAGTTCCTTTGTTTTGTTTCTTTTGCTAATACATACGAGTGAAACCATTTAGTGTTTGTCTTTCTCCAACTGAGAGTCACTTTGGGTTTTAGTGTTTTCAAGAGTATTCAGAGGGTTCTGCGGGCAGCTTTCACTTCTGCTAACTTCTTCTTCCTACCACCCACGTGATACTTGAAGTGCTCTGAAAATGGCCCCAGCTTCAGTCTATGCCCTTCTCTTCTCGGAATTGTACTCAGCTGTTCACTGAGAAATTCCCAGATTGAACTACAGACCCACACCCACCACCCTCCCCCAGCCATTCCCCCCCCCCCCCACCCCCCAACCCCCCGCCCTGCCAGCACGCAGTATCCACTTGTGGGAACACATCATCCCCTGACTGGGGAGAGCCCCACTTGTTCATAGGACTCACCTCAAGGGAGTTGAAGGGAAAACAGCTCAGCAGCTGGGCTGTGAGCAGAGCAGCCTTTTCCCAGAGCCGTGACCAACCGTTCCGGCTCTCTGCTCTCACGGTCAGGGCTCGCTGCTCAGATAAAGAGCATAGTCTGGACGTTTAGCATGGTTGCTAGAAGGTATTTGTTTGTATTTCTGTGGGGAACTTTAACAACTCTTTCTGTGTCCCTGAGTTAAATGATTGTGTCTAGGTTCAGATAGGAGCTGTAAGGCATATGCTTTTGCAAATTTCTAATCTCTTCTGAGATTCACATTTCTTTTCTGTAGAATGGATATACTTTTATCTTCTACGATTGTCATTGTGATCAACAAAAATGATGCCTATAAAATTCATTCACTCAACAAGTAATTATTGAGTGCCTGATATTAGCTAAGTCCTGATTCAGGCACACGGGGTCCTGTCGTGATCAAAGAGAGACCTATTCTTGCGAGGCTAACATGGGAGGAGTGACAGGAGACAGCGAACAAGCAAACGATGGCGTGGGTGTAGTTAGCGCCAAGTGCACTAATCAAGCAATTGGCGAGAGAGTGTCGGGTGTGCAAGCTACCATGCTTTGTGGGGTGGTTGGGAAGGCTCTTTGAAGATGACTAGAAATCTGGAAGAAGTAAAGGTGAGAATGAGGCTAGGAGGAAGAACAGGACAAAGGCCTTGGGGTGTGAAGGGTCTAGAAGACATGATCCATTGGAAGAGATGAGAGAGTGGAAGAGATGATCCAGAGAGTAGATATTGTGAAGTAAACGCAAAGGAGTGTGTGATGATGAGGTAGAAACAAAGAGAGGGTTGTGTCTGAAAAGTAAAGGAAGAAAGCATTTCAAGAAGGGAAAGGGAAATTGTGTTAAAAGTTGGTGGTAAATCAAGTAAAATGAAGAATTGTCAATAAAAACTGTTATTAGGAATCTTCACAAGAATAATTTTAATGGAGTGAAAAAAGTTGATGGTAATGAGTTTGAGACAAAGTAGAAGTAAAGGGAGTAAGTAGAGACAACTCTTAAGGAATTTTACAATAAAGGAAAGCAGGGAAATACAGATTTTCAAATAGTTCCTCAATAAAACTAGTGTTTTTTTTTTTTTTTTTAATAACCAGGTTGCAACTGAACTGGAGAAAGAAGAGGAATAAAGCCACTAGAGACCAGTTCCTTAGTGCCAAGGGAGCTGGCCTGGGGGGCTTCTTGGGGACAGATGAGAAAGATAGAAGCCAGAACTGTGGGAGCCCAGGGGAAGGCTTATCTCCTCAGCAGAGACCAGGGCCCTTTGCTGCTCTCTGCCCTTGATTGGTTCCTGAGGCCCCAGCTCCATGTTCAGGGAGTGGCGGGCTGCCCTCTGACTCTGGTGTGCAGTGGGTTACTTGCTGAAAGGCAATGACAGTTGACACTTGGGGTGATAGAGGTGCACTCACCCTAAAATGCTGTTCTCAAGTTAAGGCTGCTTTTTGGGATCAGTACACAAACTCATGAAACAAAGACCAAATGGCTCCTGGCCAGCATTGCCTCACCCGGGCCTGAATTACAGATAATTGAATGAAAGGCATTGTCACAACAGATATGGCAATTTGGAAATAGGAAAAGGAGAGCCATAAAAATTGGCAAAGATTAACCTCCCTGTTGCACTGGAGAAGCTGAGAGTACATATGGTCAACGGAAAGTAAACTCACCTTCCAGAGTGATGTTCAGGGCTCCGCTGTGGATGAGGCCATAGCCGTTGTCAGCTGTACAGTAGTATTCCCCTGCGTGGCTGTCCCTGATAGCCGCGGTCTCCAGCTCTGCTCTCCGGGCACGCTGGCTCTTCTTGCCCAGACTCTCGTTTGTGTGCTTTCTGTACCAGGAAAACGTGGTATTCCCTGTGCCTTCAGCCACAGAGCAGATGAGGACCAGCTTCTGCCCTTCCACCAACTGCCCCCTGGGGGGCTGTGTCTCCAAGAGCACACCAGACACGGGGACCCCTGTGGAGCAGAGACGACAGGTGTGACTTTAAGCCCTTAGCTCACAGACTGTGCATTTGGACCTAGAGCATCACTAAGTGATACGCTTTTATCTTGATTCAGGCTCCAGGAGGGAAGAACTGGCAATCCCTAGAGAAGACATTGGGTTTCGTTGGATACCAGCTGGTGGTCTGATAGCGACAGAGGCCACTGTGGCACCGGACTGCACTGCATCCATTTCCAGAAGTCCTGCTTTGGTGTCTAAGACAAGCTATGGATTGCATTTATTATTATCTGTATTTCCATCTTGTCTGCTTTACACACACAGACACAGACATCATTTGCTGTTATAGACTAGGGAAAGGTGGATGCTTGCCCTCTAAATAGTTCACCCCAACCTATGGCTTTCTAGAGTCTGCTAACTCAATAGCATGACCTTGTTTTTGTTTTGTTTTCCCCAACTTTTGTTTCCAGCTCCCTGAATCAGTTCCATCACATTCATCACTGTGATGGAGTTTCAAGGAAGACAGAATTTTGAGGGAAACGGAGGTAGAAACAACTTCCCGTATAGCTTTTGTGTCAGCATCTCACTAAGCCTGCCTTAGTCAGAATGACACCATCCACGTGTTGTGTTTGGGGCAGTCCCCACCCTCACGGGCCAGCAGGGCCAAAGCCAGGGAGGGGCCACAGCACACCTGCCCTCCAGGCCCCTTACTCACTCTGCACATGGACCTGCAGTGGGCGGCTGCACCTGGGGACATTGCTGGTCGGAGTTTTCACACCACACCGATATGCTCCTGAATCTTCGCTCCAGATGGCTGTGATCTGCAGTTTTGGGGAACTGCTCCATCGTGACAGGGTGACCCCACTGTCTCTAAAGAAACTGAAGTGAAGGAGAGTGTCCTGTCGCTCTGGAGAAAGCTGTGTTTCACAGCTCAAATTTATAGAATGCCCCTCTGTGGGCTGGGAGGTTGTGGCTTCCAGTGTTGGGGTTGAGAATAGTTCTGCAGAGAAGAGAGGAACCCAGTTCTCAGCACCAGAGTATTTGGAGCTGTGAGAGAAGTCAGCTACACACATAGTGCTAGGAAACTTCAGACATGCAAAAGAACAAGCTCATCTATGTTCTAGCTCACTTACTCCTCCCCCACCCCAACCCCCCCTCCCCCGTTTATTTAGCCCCAGGGCTCTCCTTTCTCTGACTCCTGAAGATTTAAAACTCTCACTTATCCAGCATTTTGATACCAGCATACAGATTCCCTCTTGACATGCACAATTTCCCCTTCCTGATGTTACTAAACACATCTGTATAAATGAAGCATTTACCTTGAATTTGAATAAATTTTACATTTGATTTAATTATATAATTTCTTTCGAGAAATCCAAGGCATTGGTAAGAGCCACTGTTATGTAAACTTGCTTGTGGTATCAAAAGCTCCCAGCTTTTATTTGATGTAAAAATAACTTTTCCATTCAAGGTGTATTTAACAGCAATCACCTTAAAATCCTTTTTGTGGCATCTCAGAATCAGTGTGTCACCTTCAAACACAGAGTGTGGGGCCTGAAGGATTAAAAGGCCTGGAAAATACAGAAGATAACGACAGGTCACCCCTCCTTCCTTGGTGCAGTATGAATTACAAAGTTTCTTTTGTTCTCTTTTTCCTTCTATAGGATTTAGCCTCCTGATCCAACCCACTCATTTCCTTCCAATATATCAGGCACAGAAACATTCCCAAATAAATCCCAGTACCACTCTTTAATAATTGTAAGGCAGACTTGCAATATGACTCTCAGGTGGAGAGGAAATGTTGATCATAGCCCCTACGCTCAAGAAGCACCCCAAGTGCTCCCCATGTCTCAGAGCAGGGGCCATCCCAAAGTGGCTTGGAGGAATACACTGCCAGCACACTGGAAGCTCCCCGACAGCAGAGGCTGGGGCGGGGGGGGGGGGAGCACTCTGCTTTGTGCATGCAGCGCTCTGCACATTCTGATAAGAGCCTTGCCAAGGGCCTGCTCTGTAGAGCGCTGCCAGGGGGCTTCTAAGCCACTATTTCTAAAGTTGCATCACTGGACAGGAGAGAGGCTCCCCTGCCAGCAAGAGAGAAAGAGAGAATGGACAGGTGCTGGGACAGGTGGGGACACAAGGAGGGAGGTTGGATCTATGACCTCTGAGCTCTTGTGGCACTTCTCACTCCCTACTCTATGCTAAGGACATTCCTGGAAAGGTTCCCAAGTCCTGGAGCACAGGATCTAATTCCCTATGTTAGTGTGCAAAAATATTTGTTGGTGAATATTAAACTTTCACTTCTAATATTCAATAGTCAATAGTAGCCTGGACAATGAAGAAGAATGTGAGGCTGAGAGTAGGTGAGGCTGAGAGCCTCCATCCTCAGAGACGCAGGAGCTCAGGTGTTAGCTAGGTCAGCTTCTCACCTGAAGAAAACAACAAGTGTACAGGATTGCTTGGGAGCGAGCCTGGGGCCTGGCACCAGTAGTCTCCAGACTCAGCAACGACGAGGGTGTTTCTTGTGGCTTCACGCAGTAATCCTTTTGTTTTGTACCAAACATACCCCCTCATTGTCTCTGTCGCGTTGACATGAAATCCACTGCAAGTCAGACTCACACTCTCTCCTCGGAAGAAAGTAGTCCATGGAGGGTAGAGGGAAATCACTGATTTGTGTGCAGCTGTTAAGAGAAGAGAAATTAACCTGAGCTGGACCTTCCTGTCTGTAGGAGCAGTCTGGTCTCTCAGAGGACCACTCCAGCCAGGTCCGTCCCCCAAAAGATGAGTGCCAGAGCACTCACAAACCTCCTGATTGTCTGGTGGGTCAGATGGTCGAGTAGATTCCTGGACCACTGCACGCTGCAGCTCCTGTGACAGACCTTTCTCTTAGATAAGCACTTGTGATGAGGAGTTGGGGGCAGGCTTGTTGGAGATGGGGTCTGTTGTGGACACGTCAGTTATTGTTACAGAAAAGACTCCAAGTTGTGCTTTTACCAAGAAGCAGAAAGGGGAGAGTTGGGCAGGTTGTTGTCTGAAGTAAGAACCATATTCAGATAACTATAAAATCATGAATGCTGGGAGCTAGCTACTCCCAAGTCCCCAAACTTCAGAGATTGTCTTTCTTCAACCATAAAACGGGCCGCATGAAATCTAGCCCTATGATCTTTAAAACATTGATGCACAGAAGTTGGAGAATATATGGGTATGTGTAACTGAAAATAAGAGATTTAAATTCTCAATGATTGAAATAAAGGGAAAATGTCTCCCTTTCTACCCTTTCTTTCAGAATTTCTTCCTATGTGGTTGTCACATGTATGCACATCTTAATAATGACTTTCCCAGTCTCACAACTCAAGAAAGTCTTTCTTAGAAATGAAACGTCTTGAAATTCGGGAAGCTTGTCCGGTCCCTGTGGGAGGGCAAGCTCAGTGGGTGCCTTGCTGCGTGTGCAGCATCACCTCCAGCCTGAAGCTATCCCACGTTTATTTCTCCTCTGAATAAAAGCCTATTGGCTTACACAGGTCAGGAAGGTAGCACGGGGAAGTTAGGATTAACCACTTATGTGCCCGTAGTGGGCTGTGTCTGCCTGACTATTTACGAGTGTGACATTCTTTTCTGTATATAATCTCTTCTTTTCTGTCTATAATCTCTTATCAGATGGCCTCTGGTAAGCCTCAGTCTTGGTCAATATTTACTCAGCAGTAGGACTCTTACCTTTCTCTTCACCCTCCATGGAGAGGAATTCTGGGTTGGGAGATGATTTTAACATTGTTTCTCCAACAAGAATTTGGGTTTTTTTCTTATCGGATGTTTATTTTCTGCGTTTTGTAGCTTTGAGGGCTCCTAACTGAATCGGTTCAGAATACAACAGTGACATAAAAATTATTTTGAGCTGAAGCCACTTCGGAGTAATTTATGTAGGTTGCATATCTCCTTTAGTTTAAACTCATTTATCTGTTTAAAAGCAGAGCTTCCCAAGAGAATTCAAAGGTCATAAATGGCCTTCTTAGGAGCAACCAGGAAAAACTGCCTCATCACTTAGAAGTCAGCGCCATGACCAAATAGACATTGTCACTGAACTGTCATACCTCTCTTCTGGGCTCTCCCTAGGTCACTTGTTCCCTATAAGTGCCCTTCTCCTCTACCCTTTTCGCTATTCAAGTGGTATATCCAACTCCAATCCCAGCTGCCTCCTTGAACCACAATTTATGCATGCGCTCTTGTAAATAATGAAAAAAAGTCTCCCTATTCTCTTGTTAATGTCTTTTATCCTTTTCATTTTCAGACCCCCCATTATAACATCAGAGCATAGAGGAAAAATCTTTCTTCCCTGACAAATGGAAAGTATTATAGCCCAAATTATTCTCTGTTGGAAAGATGCACCCCAAAGGCCCTCTTCCTCTGACACTACTGTCTACCTGCTCACAGATAGTGCTTTCATGGGCTGATCTTTCTCTGGGGTGCAGTGGAAACTGATGACACAGTGACATTTCCGATAACAAAGTGTCATTCCTGAGCATAGGACCACCGCCCTGGTGGGCACCCAGCCGCTGCCCACAGCTAAAGAGGGCCAGTGCCCGGCCCCTGAGAGCTAGTCCCCAATGCCCTGCTCTGGAGCCCACTGCTCCCTCCACTCCCCAGAAGCCTTCCACGCTCACTCACACACACCGGGTTTCAAAGAGCTAAAGACTGTTTTGCTCAGGCACATGATTCAGTGTGGACAAAAACTGAAGGCGTCCAAGGTCCAAAGCGAGAAGTGCTGGGGTCTCAGGATGAATTTTCCCGTAGGGAAAAGGGAGCAGTGCAGACCCCTGCTCCTGCGCAGTTCTGGCTCCCTCCTCCCCTCCCCCACTCCCTGCTCCAACAGTCCCACCTGAAGCTGCGCAGCCAAGAAAAATAAAACATACCACACAGGGACATCAATATTAGATCCCTGCTTTGTTAATAAATGCCTGTTTGTTCAAAATTCCATGAAGTGAAACATAAAACAAATAATGCCCATTTGTATTACTTTGTTCTTCAAAAATAAAATCTCAATTTTAGGGTGTGCAGTTTACAGAAATACTTTATAAAATGGAATCACTTTTTAAGTGTGTTTTCTCCTTTGTAAAGTCAAAGAAAGAGGACTCTCCATTCAAGGACTTTAAAAAAATGCCTTTTGAAGCTGGAAACTGTAAATATTCTTACCTTCTCAGAAAGAACTGGCCAAATAGGTCTTTCCTTCCTATAAAGGAAACACACTCCTTCTGTTTGGGAGTAAAAGCAGTGGAGTACACTGAATATTTGCTTTATATGAAGAAGTTAAATGTCCCTTATCCTTTTTTTAAGGGGGTCGTGGTGGTTAACATATATAATTCTGACTACTTTATTTAATCAAAGTTAAGTAAAATCACATTTCTTTACAAGATTCTATAACCCAAGAATCTTTTGGGTACCATTTGAATATACTTTTGACATCATTTCCTGTAAATGTCTTTTCATTAGTGGGAAACACTTAGGTATCTCTCTGTCTCTGTCTCTCTCTAGTTTCTACAGAATATATCCTGTTTTCAGTGTGCATGGGGGTGTGTTTCTCCTGAAGAGAATAGAAATCCCTACTATCTAGGTCCTAGCAAGCATCTGGGGATAGGGAGATGGGGACTCAGCAGATGGTCTTTTGCAGGAGAAAAGGATCTTTTGCTTCTGGGCCTGTAGTGGGTCCCTGGCTTTTCTGAGTATGCCCCTGGTAAGAGCAGGCAAGACAGACCCTATCTAGGCTTTCCTGAGTTAGTGAGTTCTCAGAGTAACTTCATTAATGGATAAAAGTTGGAGAACATAAGGGTAAGTACAAATTAAGATAAGAGGTTTAATTCTCACTGTTGAAAATAAGAGGAAACTATCTCTCTGACTTCATTCTCTTTCAGAATGTCTGCTGTCGTCAACACTACATGTTGCAGTGTGAGATGTAAGATCCTCTCTCTATTTCAGCTGATGTAAGACACTTTCTATTTTATTTCTCTATCCTAAAACCGTTAGGACACCCTTGCTCACTTACAACCTTGTTCCAGTTAGGCAGGGATTTATGGGGAACAGCTGGTACCCACAGCAGCAAGGGGGAGATCCACAGTCCCAGAAGCTGCAGGGCCAGTCTGGGCCAGTGAAATAACTTTAGAGAAACAAGCAGGTTGCTTGCTCCCAGCCTCCCTGCTGAGGCAATGGTATGCCTCTACCTTTTGCTTTCAAGATCCAGTGCATATCTTGAAGAAGGAGAGCCCCCCTCCTCCCTGACCTCTGCAATGTGTGCCCCAAGCTCCTTCAGCATCACAGCAGGGTGGGTGCAGAATCCTCAGGCGAGTGGTGTTTTCAGGTGTGCAGTCCTCAGGGGGAGGTGCAGGCAGCAGCCTCTCCTTAGCAGAGGGTGGGCACTGGGACATGTAGAAACATCTCAGGGGAAAGAAGGGGGGACTTACCATGGAGTCCTCTGACTGCAGCTGCAAGAGAGTCAAGAGCCAGGGCTTAGCAGGAGGAAAAATATTTCAAACCATTCCCTCCTGAGTACCTGCCAGGCCCTGTCAACACCCACCCACCCGAGAAACCGAAAGCTCAGGCTGTGGACTCAGCAGTCACAGGTTAGAAAGTCAGCAGTGAGAGCCTGGCAAACCCACAATACCGGCCATCTGTAAAATGAGATGCATAAAAGTGGCCTTGGAATTATTTATCATTCACTTAACTAGCTAAATTAATGTCTTCAGGTTAAGAGTTGCTATTATTTTTTTTTCTTTTAAACATAACTGTTTTGCTGAGACTTGGCCTCACTATCCTCTTGCCTGAAATGTTATTATTCTCCTCCAGTACCAAAGAAAACCTCTGCCCACTGTTTATAAAATTTGGGGCACCTTGGATTCCTCATCTGAAAATGAGATTTAAAGCAATTCCAGCTCATCAATTGCTAGAGGATTAAAGCAATCCATAGAATATGTCTGACATCATCAAGGGTCATCAAGAATTGATTGTTAGCAGCATACATAATCCTTTGACCATTGTGGGATAGTCTCCTTGTCCTGCCCAGTCCAACCATCCCCAAGTCCTCTGTTGCACCCAGTACTTTGCCCTGCTCTGCTCATTTACGCTTTGCTATTTCCATGATGTGCCAGTCACACTGATAACTCTCCCCTTAGTTACACTCTGGAGACAAGGTAGATACGGGTATTTGGCGTACAAATGACTGAGAGGTCTCTGTTTTTCAGCTTGAGTTTCTAGGAAATTGTGCTTATTGGACAAATATTGGCAAGCAATCCAGAAGCAGGAGGGGTGTGGAGCCAAAGGGAAGCTGCCTTATTGCTTCCCTTCTTAAGCTCTTTACATCAAGGCAGGTTTGCTCTTACAATATTGAGAATTCTCCGCAGGTCATTTCTCCAGCTCACAATTAGGACGTGGTCCTTTCATAAGGAGCTCAGCTCATCTTTTATTTTGTGCTTCATGTTCTATCATTAGGGAGGAAACTGAATGTAACTGTAGTTTTGTTTTTGTATTTTCCCTATGGCGACATAAGCCCACTTTTGGAATAGGAAGAACTTTCCACAGGCAATTAAAAGCAAATAAGAAATGTAATTTTGGAAATCAATTTTTCCCCTCAAATGTAAAATCGATATCTTACCCCCTTTACCCATTTTCTGCTGTTCTGAAATGGCAGCAAAATCATCTGTTCAGCAGCCCTGAGGAGAGGCCTTTGCCATGGATGCTCAGGTTCCTCCAGGCAAAGGCTCCCAGCACTTACCCAGGCCCAGCAGGGATGCCCACAGCAGCAAAGAAGTCCACTCAGGGAGTCTTCTGAGGAGCATCTTTAGTAGACAGGTCGGCTCACAGTAGGGGGGGAGTCCAGTAAGCTGCTTCTCTGAGTATAGTTGTTCACATTAATGAATTAAAAGAGGGAAGTAGAAGAATCTTTCTTCAAATACCAAGTAGTATGTTACCCAATAGGGGAGAATCCCAGTGATGAAACTCAATATTTAATAGAATTAATTAAGTGCTGTTCTGACATCTTGGTATAAATTGCTTCTCAAAGTCTTATTCATCATATTTTCATATCTTTCATCTTCTGTCTTTCAAGGAAGTCACAACTTATCCTCTCTGCTACCAGAACACATGCAAGACTGCAAGACTGTTGAGATAAGATAATCCAAAGATAGATCTGCCCCAGACTTGGAGAACTTCACATCAAAATGCCAAATGCCCCTCCTCCTTTCCTCCCCTCCCCTCCCTAGCCCTGACAGCCTCCTCAGGACCACTGCCAGTTGACCACAGAGAAAATGAATCATATGACCACACATGTCCTGTCTGGCATATATGAAAATATCTTTACTCATCTGTCTAGAGGAAGATATTCAGATTAAGTTTTTCCAAGTGAACCACAACATTTTAAAATCTAAATTTTGCTACAAGAATGTCTTAACACATACATACTGTTTCTATAGCCATGTGTGAGGCACATGCCAGGTGCTGAGAGTCTGGCAGTTAAGTGAGACTCAATAAACTTTCAGTCAGTGGGGCAAGCGAAAGAGTCACCAGGCAGCCAAATGCAGAGTTAACCTGCCGGCCAAGGAAGGAGACCCAACCCAGTCAGGGGAAATGTTTTATTTTTTTCTTTAAAGATTTATTTATTTGTGCATACAGAGCTGGGATACAGGTCAGAGATGCAGGGGCAGAGAGGATTCTCCTGAGACAGAGTGGGGAGCAGAACAGGCAGGTCAACGAAGTGCACTGCTGAGGGGAGCAGCGGGAGAAAGGTCT